ATTTTTTTTATGAAACTATAGTCATAGATCATCGGCTCTCAAATTACGCAAGAACGACGTTTCTACGATTATTTTTGATCGAACTGCAAACTTTCCAAAATGGAGACTAGCAATTCAAATTTTAATTAGAATTTAAACTTAATTAATTAACAACACGACCAAATTTTGTTTTATTCTGTAGACATATCATTGAAGGTGTCCTCTACAAACCAGCCAAATTTGAGGGTATGTTTAGGGGAAGGACACCTCTCCTTTAAACGAATGTATTATTAATCAAGCAAATACATGCAATTCTTACGCTTAATAAGTTTGTTGGACAGACTTTAAACATTTAGGTACATATTGTTTCTTCCACTTCTTCACACCTTTCTATTTATTTGGATTAGTATAGTTCTAGAAATGAATCTATTTTTTTCATTTCACTAATTTTCTAACGTTCATTAGTCGTTCATATCTGTTGTTCGAAAATATTGTATAAAACACGGTAGAATGAAAATCTATTATGTGACATTTCTAACACGTACATTTAGAGTTCAAGGAAATATCTAACATGAGATCGGATGTTGACTCTGTATTCATTGTTTCTTCATTGTTGACGAATTCTTTAATGTTTAAATAATGGTGACGTTCGGTATGAAGTGAGTAAATAGGCGTGCTACATGAGAAAACTATCTCGGAAACAATTGAACTAATTTTAACAGAATTTTAAACAACGTTTTTTTTCACTAGAGGCATAAAAAAATTTGTATAAATTTTTCTGATTTTGGTCATTTTCTGGTTCTGAGAGAAACGGAAATTTACGCTAACGAATAACGATAAAAAGCTTTCCAGAAAATAACTTTGATTATTACAAATTTCATGTAAAATATCTTTGTAGTCAGATGTTCAGTGAAATTTGAATTGAAAGAGCGATGAGAACAGATCATTTTTCGCTGAGAGAGAAGAGTTTGGAATGGTTTTGATATGTTTTTGACTTGAACCGGTTTTTGCGGGTTTTTGTATTATTCATACATTGAAGTAAACTGAGACAATAGTATATAACTTTACTAGTGTGCTACTGTTACACATTTGTCGGGTTATTGAATGCTTAAATGATTTTTTGCCTATTATATAACGTCTGTGACGTATGTTCACATTCAAACATTATTTCACGTAAAAATTTTCAACAGCACAAAAGCCTATGATTACCAGTTAAAATCATACACGAAAACCAAAAAAGAAAAACTCGAAGACAAAAAAACTAGAGAAAAATAGCATAAAAATCTGATTCTAATTTTTATTCGTAACGTATTTTATTTTGCCTATATGGATGACTAACAGTGTAGTAGAAAAACTTGAAATGAAACAACAGTAAAACAGAGATCTATGTATTAGTGGACAATGTTCTAGGTCCATGTCGAGCGGATAACGATTGTAATTCTTTTAACTTTGACAAAGTTGGAAGTTTTCGTTTAGTTTCAACGTCAACACAATAAAATATTTTCTTAAATGCACGACGAAAATGAGTATTACACAAAGGATAGATAAGTGGATTTAACGAACTATTTAGATAACCAAGCCAAATAGAACTAAGAAAAATTGAATCTGACACACACGTTTTACACCAAGCAACAACCATAAATAAAATAAAATATGGCAACCAATTGACAGTAAATACGCCTACTAACATTCCTAACTGACGTGCAGCTTTCAATTCTTTTTGTAAGGCATGTGCACGACTTGGATCTTTTAAAAAAATTAAGAATTTACAACATCCCATACTGATGTGAGGTAGTGAATTCACATGATCAATATCATTGGGTACTGGTAATTTTGACCAAGATTTAACATTCTTTGATAATGGCGTTTCGGACTGAGTTAAATTTCCTGCAAGTTTAGTTAAATCATTAACAGATGGTGCACGGTTATTTCTAAATGAACAAAAAAAGATAGTCTCAAACATAAATAGAAAGAGTAAAAATAAAACCTACTTAGATAAACTATTTGGTGATGGTAGATAATCATTGTCTATTGAATGGGATTTAGTGACGTTTGAAGATAATAATGGCAACGTTGGTGATTTTTTCAAAACGATTGGAAGATTGGCAGTTAATGTTTCTAAATATTCATCCGAAAAACTTGATGTTACAGACGAAGTACATGATTTTTCCAATAATTTATTGGTGACATTGTCTATATATTTCATGTTTTGTTGTACGCCCATTGATGGTTTCGTTTCACAATGAGTATCATACATATCAGTATGAATAACAGGTTGACAACTTTTACGTTTGGTGGAAAATAGTATGGGTGGTAATGAAAGGAACGAAAATCGTTTATGAAATTTTGATAATGGATTATTAAAAGAATTCGATGTGGGCATTCTTAACTTGTCATTATTCTCTAACGATATAAAATATCTTTCATATGCTTTTGATCCTTCTGTATTATCGGTCTCTATGTATTGCATTGAAAATGATTCTTGATCTTCGTGATCGTATGGAAAAAATATATTATTATTATTCTTCGAACATGAACAATTCTTTTTTACATATGTTGAATTTCCTGTCGGTGAGGACGAATTTAATGTACAAATATCGTTAGATGATGAATATTGATCATGATCGTAAGGATTTTTAGATGATGATAATATTTTTAATGACGTACTCTTATTCGATTCTGCTTTGGATGAGTTATATCCGGTGGGTAAATAAAGAGCACTGAAACGTTTTTTTGGTGGATCATCGGATATGCGCTGCTGTTTTTGTAGATGAAGTTGTTCCGCTTTCTTATTTGCCCTTGATATTGATCGTGCATTTTGCATTTGTTTTTGAGTGGCTGCCGACAAACGTCTACCAATTTCCATTTTTGATCGTAGTCGAATTGCTTGCATTATACGACACGATAAAATAATCATACCCAAGAGTGGAATATAAAAATTAATTAATGCAGTAAACGTTTTAAACGTTTTATTTCCACGAAATGCTGTATCACATACATTTTCCGTGAGTGGTTCGGAAGAAGGTACCAAATAAGGCCAAAGAATGATAGCTGGTATCCATAAACTAGCTATGAGCCATATCAATAAAATAAATGTAGTAGCACGTTTGCGAGTTCGATTACGTAAATATCGCAACGGATGAACGACAGCCCAATATCGATCGAGACTGAGAATGAATAAATTAAATATACTGGCAGTACTAAAATGTAAAGCCTAAACATTATTTATTCCACAATTTTTCAGTTATCCATTAGTTTTTTTTATAATAAAATAAAAATATTTTTAGTTTAATAAAAAAAAGGTTTGACCCCGACGTGATTCGAACACGCAACCTTCTGATCTGGAGTCAGACGCGCTACCGTTGCGCCACGGAGTCGGTGCTGAAATCTAACTAAAGGAGGTTCTGAAACACCACACATGAAAGATTTGATTTTTGTCACTGCAAACCTTGCTCAGTTTACCTCGCCACGTAATCAGTTGATAACCATATTAGACAAATAACATTATGTTTAAACGGCCATCTACCGGCCACAATGGTTACGCTACTTAATGGCATCACTAATAAGCCGACAGCCAAATCAGCAATCGCTAAACTAAGAATAAACAAATTCGATACCTAAATAAAAAACACAACCTTTCTCTAATTACACAATATAAATTTAGAGCTTACTTACCGTACGCAAACGTTTTTCTGTTCGAATTGCATGTAAAACCAAAATATTTCCACACACGGTAAACACAGATAAAGCTCCCAAAAAGAATCCTAATATCACTTTTTTACCAACATGGTGTTGTTCTAAGACAATTGTAGAATTAAAATCAGACGAATTGTTCATACTTTGTTCATGGTAACTTCATACCAAAAGTCTAAAAAAAGTTAAACAGCCTTGTGAATACATCGTTTTAAGACTACAACATGATTATCTGTCGGCTCTATAATTAAACCATTATTTCTGTTGAACTCTTAATAACTTCCATTAATAAATGCATCGTATAGTCCTGAGAGATGCTAACCAACCATTTGAACAACAGTTACAAAAACTTTTCTCAAGTTGTTTTCTATTCGCAAAATGTACTCTTAATTACTATCGTGATGAAGATACGGAAACGAAATAGATGAGTTGAGGAACTCAACGTCTTTATCACCGCTCACAAAATTCCTTCGGAAATAGTAGTTGTACTCTTATCCTTACTAGAAAACAGAGCAAAGCCAGAATGTCATGCTCATCTATCGAAGAGGAATAGCAAAGATGCGAATCTATAGCATAGCTCATATCGAGTTTGACATATTATATTGGAGATCTTGTGTGAGATGTTACTCTTGTACGAAAACGATCATATGAGACCTCACATTCGAAAGAGAAATGTGCTCAGTTTGTTCGAAGATGGATTTGAGTTGTCGGTTATCGATTTGTTAGAAAATTCGTCTGTAGAGGAAATCTTGATTTTCAGGGCTTTCAGAAGACTTGCTAAAAAGCATAACTTCACTAAAAGGCATTTC